CTGTGGAGTGCACTGGGCCTAAGGTGTGGACTTCATGCAAGGGAAAGTGCTCAATGCAAAGAGGTACTTCACAGAGCCCATAGCAGAACATTCCTGTGAATACAGGGTTCCCTCCTTCCTTATGCAAAACAGAAACAAATGCCAAACCTGCAAAATTCAAGCATGTCCTGAAGATCTGAATTTCACGAGGGGAAGCATGTAGATCAGAAACAAGTCTAGCCTTCATAAAAATATTTTAAGGCCAGGCGTGGTGGCTCACACCTGTAATCCTAGCACTCTGGGAGGCCGAGGCAGGCGGATTGCTCGAGGTCAGGAGTTCGAAACCAGCCTGAGCAAGAGCGAGACCCCGTGTCCACTATAAATAGAAATTAATTGGGCAACTAATATATATATAGAAACAATTAGCCGGGCATGGTGGCACATGCCTGTAGTCCCAGCTACTTGGGAGGCTGAGGCAGGAGGATTGCTTGAGCCCAGGAGTTTGAGGTTGCTGTGAGCTAAGGTGATGCGATGGCATTCCCTCTAGCCTGGGCAACAAAGTGACACTGTCTCAAAAATATATATATATTTTAAAAATTTTTGGGAGGGTGACCCATGCCTATAATTCTAGTACTCTGAGAGGCTGAGGCAGGAAGCGGTCAGGAGTTCAAGACCAGTCTGAGCAAGAACGAGATACTGTCTCTACTAAAAATAGAAAAAAATTAGCCTGGCATGATTATGCTTGCCTGTAGTCCCAGCTACTTGGGAGGCTGAGGCAGGAGGATCGCTTCAGTCCCGGAGTTTGAGGTTGTTGTGAGCTAGGCTGACTCCACGGAACACTAGCACAGGCGACAGAGTGAGACTCTGCCTTAAAGAAAAAAATTAAAAGTAAAAAACTAGCTCTGGAGCCTTGTGGTTTCAGCCATATTAATTTATGATGGTTATCCTTGTACTGTGATTTGAACTTAATCTCTTCCACTGTACAGTTTCATGGCTTTGGGAAAACTACTTAATCTCCATGATCCTTCATTATATTTTCTATTATTTCTTACCTCACTGTCTGCTTTAAAATGCATATTCCTTTGAACTTGTATATTGCCCTGAGCCCAGTACCTGGTCAAAAAAGTGCTAGGTCCCATCTTTTCTCATTGTTATTTTTTTCTTTGCCCTCCATGAAAGAAGGTGATAGTTCATCTGTTTCAGTAGTAGGTGTTTTGAGTTCTTGACAGACACATAAGTTATATTTTCAAATTAAAAGCTGAATGAAAAAAGAATAGTGTCTTCTCTAGAATAGTGGATCTAAGAAGAAAGGAACTAGGAAAAATAATTGCTCTCCTTTCATAATAGTTTTTATTATTATAGAAAAAAGAACAGAAAAATGAATGGTTATCCAGAATTAGTTTTATAACTGTTTTGTCAAAAAGGTGTATTTTTAGAAAACTGTGGCTTCCTTTCCCACTCTGCCAAGATAACCCCATGTATTAAATGTACTGCTACAACCTAATTTAAACTTGTGGTCAAAGGAAATTAATATAGCTAAGAATATACTTTGGAATTTTAAATAATTAAAGTATCTCTGGAGTATTAAAATATTACTTTTCCCTTTAATAAATTGTCACATTTATATAAAATATGAAATAAAGACTGTTCGTCTTTTTGTACTAGAATTCTCTTATCTCCTTCATAGAATAACCTGATTTTAGGAGGTTGCTAAATGCTTGTAGTGATAAGAAAGGCCCTGAGGGGTTTTGCTCAAATAATGATGAATGGTCATTGAATTGCCTTTTTAAAAGGGTGACTGGTTAACTACTAACTATAGGGCTTTAGCTTTGCTGAGCAGGGTATGTCATCAGGGGCCTGAGTAAATTTGCTTGGAACAATGAAGGTTTATTGGCTATATGGGAAAAGAGTTGGCAAGGACATCATGAGCAAGCAGGACTTATTCTAGATATATAAAGCTAGTTCAATATTTGAAAATCAAATGTAACATCAACAGGCTAAAGAAAAAAATATAATCATATTAATATACACAGAAAAAGCATTTCACAAAATCTGACACTCATTTATAATAAAAACATTCAGCAAACCAGAAATAAAGAGGAACTTCCCTCACTTGATAAAGGACATCTACAAAAATTCCACTGCAAACATCATATTTAATGGTGAGAAATGATATCCTTTTTCACTAAGATCAGCAAAAAGACAAGAATGTCCACTCTTATTACTCCTATTCAACATCATAGTGGAAACACTAAGGCAGTAAGACAAAAATAAAGAAATGAAATGTATACATATTGAAAAGAAATAAAATTGTTTTTGTTAACAGATGACATGATTGTCTATGTAGAAAATCTCAAAGAATCAACAAAAAAAATCTCCTATAACTAAATAAGTATAGCAAGGTTCAGATACAAGGTTAATATACAAAAGTATAGCAAGGTTTAGATACAAGGTTAATAAACAAAAGTAAAACAAGGTTAAGATACAAAAATAAAATGATTTCCTATATGTCAGCAATTAGCAGTAGGAATTTGACATTTAAAAATTTTTAAAAACCAATACCTTTTATAATACACACACACACACACACACACACTCACAAATTAAACACATATTGCTAAGTGAAAAAGCCAATCCAAAATGGCTACACCATGTATTATGTATCCTATATCACATTCTGGAAAAGGCAAAACTATTGCAGTTGTGAAAGGGCAAGTGGTTTCTAGGAATCTGGAGCATGGAGGGAGACAGGGATGAATAGGTAAAGCACAGGGATTTTTTTGAAGGCAGTAAAACTATCTTGTATGATATTGAACTTATAAATAATACAACACTATGTATTTGTCAAAAATCAGAACTTTAGAGTGCAAATGGATTTTAATGTATGTAAGTTAACATTTGTATCATTTAGAAGATTGGAGTATTCCAGTATGAGATATAGAATGTGATGAAACAAGCTAACTGTTACAAACACATGAAACAACCTTATTGAAGGTGTGATAAAAAGGTGCTGGCCTAAGTAACTGGAAGTCTATGGAGTCTGTAAAACTGAAGGCAAAGTAAGCTGTACATCATAAGTACTGTACTTTAGTGGATAAAGTTATTTACTATGGGGATGTGGGTTAGCAATTCTGATGTTGCATACATGTACAGTTAAGAGTCATTTAACCATAGGGATTTTGTGAAAACGCGTTACTAGTTGATTCCGTCATTGTGCAAACATTGTAGAGTTCACTTACGCAAATCTAGATGGTATAGCCTACTAAACACCTGTGCTATATGGTACTATAGCCTACTGCTCTAGGCTAAAAACCTGTACAGCATGTTCTGGTACTGAATACTGTAGACAATTGTAACACAATGGTAATTATTTGTATATCTAGACATATCTAAGCACAGAGAAGCTACAGTAATAATGACCACCATCATACATGCAGTCTTTTGCTAACTGAAATATGATACAGTGCATGACTGTATACTAGACTCAAATGACTAAGAAAATGGCTGGCAGATGATGGGACCAGTTTTCTCACTGTCAAAGTGTGAATTTATGAATAAACAATGGTAAGAGCCTAGAACGATCCACATGTGAATGCCTTAGAGTCGAAGACAGTATAACAACTCATGTTATTTTAATATAGATACAAATGTTTACATACAAAGATATTTATACATATCTATATATACATGGGTTATTATACACACATATATGTCCTTCCTTTGTCAGCTGAGAGGGAATAGAAGTAAAAACAGCCATATAGCACTGAGCACACTTAGCTCATAGACCTTGATTTTTAATACCATTCTCCAATAAAAGGAATCAGAGCTCTTTAGAGAAATGACTGCTTCGAGGGCTAGGGCTGAAAATATACAAGATGAATTTGGGACATTTTCTATTGCCAAAAAGTAAAAATTACTCAAGCAAACTAATAAATTTTAAAAATATCACACACAGGGATAAGGGTACATCAAAGAAAGGTGATGAGGACACTTATAGCCCTGACTCAAGCATTACAAAAACTATTCGTGTAAGAAAAACATTTGTATTCCCTTAATATTTTGAAATTTAAAAAAGGAGTCAATTAATGGAAAAAGCTCCTATAGGCAAACCTATAATAACTTCAATAAAATAAAGTAGAATTAGATTACAAACGATAAAATAAATAACCATAAGTCTAGATGGATATAAATAAATGATTAAATAAATAAATGATGAAAAAAAGACAACTCTCCACTGTAGAAGAATTTAACATAATTTTTGTCAATATTTCTCTCTTGAGGAGAGAGAGAGTGTGAGCTGAAGGGTGTCCTCCTTCCAAAGGAGGAATGGAGAGTATGGAAAATAGGAGAAAGGAGTAACTTTACAGTGGAGAAAACAGCCAGCTGACTGAGGTCAATGTCAATATTGATAAGTCATGCTGACAGTATGTACTCAATATAATGTGATGAAAATGACACTGATTGTTGCGACAAAAAATCATAAATCAAGTGTAATTGTAAAAAAAAGATCAAACAAACACCAACTGAGGGACCTTCTACAAACACTTGACTAGTATTCCCCAAAACTATCAAAGTCATCAAAGACAAGGAGAGTCTGAAAAACCGTCACATCCAAGAGTCCCCTCAGGAAACATTTTGGCTAATTATAATGTGACATTCTGGGTTAGATCCTGAGATAGAAAGAGAACATTAGGCAAAATTAGTTAAGTATTTAAATTAATTATCTATACTATTATATAAATATCAGTTCTTTAATTGTAACAAATGTACTACACAACGTACAATGTAAATTGTTAATAATAGGGTTCGGGGTATATAAGAAATATGTACTATGTTCTATTATCTTTATAATTTTTCTGCAAATGTAAAAATGTTCCAGAAAATAAAATCTATTAAAAAATTCACAAGCAAACATGCACAGTACTGTGTCCGAGGCATCCTCCTTCTGTGCCTTGCAGTGAGCCTGTGTCTCAGGCGGGACCAGGCAGGTGTCCAGGACACCAGGTTCTTCAGGCTGCCTGTGCCATTGCCCTGGATGTGCCCGTTGGCTCACGTTACTTCAAATCTTCCTCAAAGTCCTCCTTCATCTCCTCCTGAGATGAAAATTTCTTTCAAAGAAAAATTTCAATTCATAGAAATAAAATATGTTAGGTTGGCAAATTCTGTGAAGAGTGATGTGTGTTTTAACAGCATACAATTGTTTTACTTTCCAGATGTATTTGTTTCTTCTAATAGAAATGTGATGTCATCTGTTTGTGTCACGTTCTGGGTCAAAATTTAGCACGTTCCATAGCACGGGCTTAAAGGAACCAAGGGATTAAAACTTAGCTTTTGCTGGGTGACTGCATCAGCTCCAACATGGGACCTTGTTCATGGAGGGAGGGTGACAGTACCATGGTACATCCCCATTATCCTGGTTCTTTTATTTGCACCTGCTCACATCCCACATTATATATATATATATATATATATATATATATATATCCATTAGAAAAAATATGTACAATGAGAAAATTTACTATCAAGTCCTTCAGGGGCCTTTGAAATAAAAAATGTCTAATGTAAGCCCAAACTCAGGTTCTGGCTCAAGCAATCCTGCCCCCTGCTCCTATTCCCTGAACTCTATATAGCTGTGGGGTCGATGGGGGTTCATAACCCTAGTAGAAGATGCCACTCCTGGCCCATTTTCCAGGAAGATAAGAGACCAGTAGCTTCCCATATCACACACAGGAAAATTCAAAGTCTGGGAGTGGCTAGGCCCTGAGTTCTGAAGATAGAAAAAATCTCTGTGATTCTTTTGAAGGGGAAGTAGCTAAAATCTGCACCCATGACCCTTTTACTTCCTGATGAAGACTTGGGAGGTGAGCACTGCCACCTCAACCTCTTGGCTTAGTCTTAATGAAGATGCCAAGAAATCTACCCCTTTCCGTTCTTATACCTAAGCTGTAGAGGATATATACCGTCAGGTCTCTGTGCATGTGTGTGTGTGCAGGCAGGGACTTTTGTCCCTTTCTTACTCAAAGGAGAAATGCCACTTGTTATTTGCCTTCCCAATCTCATCCCTGGAGAGGGCACTAACAGCTCGTGCTGGTGATGTTAGCTATTGATAGCTAGGCATATTGTACGTTGGGTGTTGAATATAGTAAATCAATTCTTTTTTGTGCATCTTCCTCCAAACAAGAGGAAGCCAAAGAAAAGGGGGGGGCATAGGAAACTCTCAGAGAAGCTTGGAGACTTAAAAGGATATACTATTTACCTATCATCCTGTGCAAGAAATCTCCACATTGTTATAAGTAATTTTCAAAAAAAATGCGAAATTTGACTTTAACACACTGACCGTCACACTAGAAAAGAATTTTTTTTTCCCTTGGGGCTATGGTGCTTTAGTACGAAAATAGAATAAAAAATTGAAAACAAAATGATCCTTTCTAATGTAATGAAAAATTTGTTATTTTTTATTGTTTTTTGTTTGTGAGTTATATGCAACTTGAAAAATAGTTCATGCAGCTCCCAAGGTAAAGAGACATGTGAGTTACATATGCTTCACCAGGCCCCGGGCTCAAAACTAGCATGAGTTAAAAACAACTCACGTGGTAGTGAATGTTCTAATACAGGTATAATATTAATACATGTTAAAGATTTTAACATACTCAAGATATTCAGTCAAACATTATAACCACTTCTGAGAAGAATCCAAATGAACAGACACACATACATAGATCAAGAATATTAAAAGGAATGTGCAAATAGAGGCAAACTAGCTTTCTCATAGGGTAGTGGGAAGCAAAGTTGGACATAATTTATTTACATGTTATTGAGCAGAATTTTACACTGCTATCGCTGATCTACAACATTTACAGTGTTGTGAAATAGATTCCATAGAGTCAAAACCAGAAAACCCTGAAAGGTATGCTATAGACAAAATGCAGATTTCCACTGAAGTACAGATTTTTCTTCTTAAAATATGTTCAAGTAGCACTCAGGCTACACTAAGGCAAAGTATTAGCAATCATTTCACATCCTGGGATATGAAAATTAAGCTCTGGCTGAAGCCAACTCTCTGCATTGCCACCCACCACAAGAGAACTCAGATTGCCAGGGCCGCTGCATGTTTGTATTTTTGAAACACTAGCCGGTGTCCAGAAGACATAGAACTGGGTGGATTGTGGGTGTGTGTGGGGGAGTTATGTGTCTGGGGGATGTTGCTGTGGTGGACAAAGGGATGGGGTGGGACAGCATAGAAACAGGGCAGGTACAGCTTACTTAAGACTCTTCAGTGTCTGTGGTATTAATCTGTCCGGAACAAATATGGGCTTGAAAATGAGGTCGTCCCATTGGCTTGGAAGCTTATGGAAGGAAAGACCCTCCCGGAGGAGAGTCTTTGTGCGATTGCTGGCTGGATGGCTTCATTGCAGGGCTCAGAGGTCAGATCCCCGTGCAGCCACACACTGCCTGGCGAAAAATAAGAGAGTGGAGAGAAGGTTGGCAGTGGACTGGGTGGGAACCCAGAAAAAAAAAAAAAAAAAAAGAAAAAAAAAAAACAACCGAAAAGAAAGAAAGAAAAAAACCCAATAACAACAAACAAGAAGGAAAGATTCCCCCCCAATACACACACATAACAAACACAGGCCCTCATCTTCCGAAATATAACTGCCCAGGGTACTATGGAGTACATTGATGGCCTCTCTAGGAAAGAGCACAGGATAATACCTACATGGATATCATCCAATATGCCATTGCCCTCCTGGAAAAAGTAACACTAGTGCTTCCCCCAGCTGTGCATGATGACGATGTGTAAGATCCTGTCCTCTTCCTTCTAGTACCTCTCGTTTTATAAAGTGAAAGAACACATCTTTGTGATTTTCCAGGGGGCCTTTGGTAAATATCAAAGATTTTTTATTTTATGTGTTAAAGATATCTTGAAATATTTATTTTATTTTTATGTTTAGGATATAGTATCGTTAGGGCAAACATCAAAAGTTGTCAGGAGATTTGAACAGTTAAGATAGGACCATGGCTGTGGTTGCCTGAGAACCAATCCTTGGCTCTCCCATTTAAAAATGACAATAAAATAATTTAGAGACAAATATAGAGGATAACATGTTTGCAAAGGATCTTAGTTATTTTCTAAGTGAGAAGCCTTTGTTTTCTTGAATAATCAAGAACATGATAAAGTCAACATAAAGCACAGAAAATTATTCCAGTAAGAGACAGAATCTTTGCTATCTCAACAGATCTCACAGGAGAGGCAGGGACCAATTTTACCATAGTAGGCAGAGGCGATAAACAGTATATAAAGGAAATAAGCCGTGGCTACGTGATGCAGGCCTGGAGATCAAAGCCAAGACATGCATTCCCAGTACCTAGTTATCTGGGCCCAGAAAGAGATGGCCTCTCAGTATGACTAAAATTCCATGCCTGAAACAATTGAAATATTTGTAACCACTCTGTGGTACAACTATCTCAGGAAACCTTTAGTCCTTCCGCTCACAATCTTTCCCAGGACAGCCTGGCCTCCAAGTCCTGTGTAGAAGTTTCCAAAGTTTCTAAAGAATTTGCTGTCAGAAAGGAGATGTAAACACAACTGCAGCACCACTTTCAAAAGAGGCTCATTGAAAAACAGGGGGACCTGGTTTGCATGATGGAGGAGACTTTGGCACTGATGCACCCTCATGGTAAATGTCCAGGAATGTCAGTGGCCCAGGTCCCCTCAAAGCCTAGATACTGATACACATACCCTACATTTAACATAATCACATATGAGGAGGTGACTAGCCACTTTCTTGTGCAGCTGTGAAACTAAATCCTTGCTTTGCTTCTTTCCTTGATATGTCATTTCCATTTGATAATAGATGCTTGTTGGTCAACACTCATTTTGTTTTTTGTGCTTTCATTTTGACTTACCCAGATTGGGATATAAAGTGCAAATCTGCTGTTGTTTAGTTAGTCCCTCATTGTTCATCAAACCCAATAACAAACCAGTAATTGTCACCAAATGAGGTAAAGCAGGCAGCAGAGTCAGGTCTGTGTCCAAAGCACTGTGTCCAAACACCCAGGGGCCACCATTGCTTTAGTAGCAACAGTTTTGCCATAAGGTCCAATTTACATAATTGTCAGTCACTGACATTTGTAGCTCAAAGAACCACTAAGAGTCTGTTCAGCTTGCTGGATAGTACTGCAGGCTCTTTTTGGCCATAGCCTCACTCAAAAGTTGCTATCTTTCCAGTGTTCCTGTAGAACACTCAGTAGACTCCCCAAGAGAAGCATGAACTAATGCCAGTACTCAAACAGGCCAATCAAAAATTGTGCCTTCTTTTTGTTTGCTGGAATTTTTTTTATAGATTCAGAGATTATCCTTTGGCATTAGCCCACATGGTTTCCAAGAATGTTGCTTGAGGACTAACACTTCTAACTTGTCAGGGTTAACCTGGCCCTAATTACTCAGATATTAAGACATTTTTTTCTAAGGCAGCCCATATTCTATCTTTAACCCTTCCAATCAGAATGATTCACCAATATAACGATACTAGGGTACCTCTGGTAGGGTCCTAGTCTTTCCTAGGTCTTTGTATAACTGCTGGAGACAAGTCATGGGAGAGTTTAGAAAGCAAAACTCCCCTAGTAAAAATAAATTGCAACACAAACCACAAAAAGGCAAATTGGTTTTGATCATTTGGATGCACTGGGGTGCTCAAGAAGCATTAACAGTGCCTACCACTTGGCATCAACACCTTTTGTCTCAGCAGCGGACTCTTATATCTGGAACTGCAAGGGCAAGGGGGAGAGTGACACATTGGTCCTGCAGTAGTCCACAGGGAGCTGTCAAGTACTGTGGGATTCCTTCACTGGCCACACAATGCTATCATAGGGTGATTCCATTTCTTTAAGCACCTCTGCCTCCACTAGCACTTCCATCCATGTCATGATTTCCTCCCACCCTTGTCCCTCCAGCATCCTATAATGTTTCACAGTAACCACATGTTTAGGCTAAGGAAGGCCCATCAGCCTCCAGTTATGTAATCTTCCTACTACTTTCTTATTTACTTCAGCTCTAAAAATAACCCCTTCAAGATATGCGTGCCCTATAAAATGAGGGCGTGTCAATTATAACCTGAGGACCATAGCCTAAATAAATTCTTAAATGTTGACTATAAGTTTATCTCCACTGGCACAAATCAAGGAAGAGATAGGATCACTTTTCTACCCACCCTGAGAAGATTTTCAACATTGATTATTTCCTCTACCCCATTTTTTTTGAATGTTCATCTTATCTTGTGTAGATTTACTAAGCACCAGATAGAACTTCACAAGAATACCATAGATGGCCTCACTGCCCACCTCCTTCACCCTTCCTTTTTTCCCACGCACCCCATTTTCCTTTGGATGCCAAGTTATCCACCTCTTCTACCAAGAGTCCAGTACATAACAGGTATTTTGTGGGCTGTGCTTTTCCTGGATATATCATTAAAACCTTGGCTTAATAAACCTCCATCGAGCATGCTTTTCATTTTTAGTTACTTATTATATAAGTTAGCACTACTAATGTTCTAATCAGGTATTTCCCCATAGAGGATGTTTCTTATAATCAAAAGCAGACCACACATCCTTAACACATCCAATCCCACACTATATTTAGCATCATCAATAATTGTTTGTGTGCTGGTCCAAAAGGACCCACTCACAAGTTATTCAGTTCATCTTCCATTCTGAGAATTTTCCCCAATTCAGTCAAAGTAATTTTTGTTTTCTTTTAACCACACTTATGGGGATTTCCTAGCACCACAGGGCTGAAAAGATTTGGCAAAACTGATTGCCATTATAGCCTCTTAGTAAACTCAGTTTACTTAGTCTCTACCCTTGTCTGTTTGCTTTTGAAGGGAATAAAATATGGCTAGAAAGTTGGTATCAAAAGTATTGAATAAGCCCAGCACAGTGGCTCATGTCTGTAATCCTACCATTGTGGGAGGCTGAGGCAGTAGGATTGTTTGAGCTTAGGAGTTTGAGGTTGCAGCGAGCTATTTAATATGATGATGCCACCGCACTCTAGCCAGGGCAACTGAGCAAGACTCTGTATGAAAAAAAAAAAAAAAAAAAGTATTGGCTCAATATCACTCCAAACAGCTCAAACCCCAGCAAGGGGCTGAGATCCTCTTCCGGCTTGCCTCCTATTGGCCATAGTAAATGCCAAAGCTAGCTAGGGAGTTTCCTCTGCTACTGCTCAGATGTTCAATTTTGTGTCCCTTTCAAAGTCTGATAGTGAGGAATAATTTCACCTGAGAACAAACCATTAGTCTCCTTCTTGGGGACTTCCTTATATAATAACCAGATCCACACGACCCTACTGTTTGGATTTTAATTGGTTTCCTTCCTTCTCCCTTATCCTATAGGTCACTTTCCTTGACATTTGTCCAGACTTTCCCAAGTCATTTGTTTCCTAGTGGAGTTTGTTCCAGGAGCACATTATGACATGTATTTTTTTTTTCTAATAGTGTGATGTTGCTGATGGGAAAAAAAATCAATGAATCTGAAATAGGTGACTATTTCATGATTTGGGTGCTAATGATCTCTAGCATAAATCCAGGCTGGCCTTACAGTAGTTCGAAGGGAAGGTACCACTTCTCCAGCAGTCTTCCATGGGTGTTGATCAGAGGATGGAAAGTCATCCTGAGTAGGACACTGTTTCATTATGGATGTAAAGACCTATTGCAATAAGTCCTGATCTATGTGTAGATGTTATTCCTCCATGTTCATGTCACAGATCAAGGTGATTGTTGCCAAAGTGGCTTTAAGCACAGGAATTATTGTTAAAGTGATGAAATAAATCCTACTCCTTATTCACCAACCCTTGTGTGGCTCCCTCATCTGCTAATCAGATGAGTCACATGTGTGTAATCCTAAAAGGCTTTTGCCCAAATTGATCTCTACTTTTTCTCCTTTTGTGTTCCTTGTAAGACCTGACCTACATATTTTTCTGAGTAATTAATTGCTCTGGGATGTATTTCATCTTTTGACACAACCACAGTCTGAAAGAATGTAGTCTCCCTTTCCCAGTGGTGCAGGAAGGCAAATAACAGCCACAGTTCACGTTCTTTAGTTTCACAGGCTCTGTCTCTAATTCTAACCACCAAGGCAACTTATCATTCATCTTAAGGACAAATATGCAGAACTAGTTTGTCTCTGTTGTTGCTGAACGCTTCAGCAACCAAATTCACTTCCACCCACCGAGGTCCTGTGCCACACCTGACCAGCCAACCCACAAGACAGACTCCTGTTGTCACTCTTCTAAAAAAGCACTGTGATCTAACTGGCCTAAGGTCGGAAGCTAAATTTGTCAAGGAGGCTGAATGATTCAGCAGGCAAAGAAAATATAAGCCCAGATAGAATAATACTGTTATTAATTATATAGACAGCAAAAAATGAATCAACAATGATGTCAACTCCCCACATCCTTTGTCCCATAGGATGACACCAAAACAAAACTGGCAGATGATATACAAATAAGGTAAGTGGTACCTGTTTCTGAGGAGTCTATTCCACACAGCAACTGAACAGTTTATAGTCTGCTCTAAGAGGTGACAAGGCAGAAAGCCATCTACTCCATGGGAATTAGGGAGGCAGATGAGAAACTGCCTATGAAGCACTCCCTCAAGATAGGTAAGAAAGTGAGAAATTGCCTTGCAGAGCTTCCTCCCAAAACTGCCTAGCTTTCTCTGTTCCTGGAGGATCACGGGACATTCTGATAAGGCTTGTGTCAGATGTTTTTGACTATGTGGCCTGTGTGGTATAAGATCACAGAGCACTGGTATTCCCACCACTAAGAAAGTTGGCCTGAGTTCTATGGAAACCATCCTAAAACCATTCCTGACTCACATAGTTTTTCTTCAAAGGGCTTACAGCCCATGCCCAGTGGGACCAAGTGCTAAGTATGATCTGGTAATAGATTGTTTCAGTCTTAAGATTCTAATTAGAACAATCACATTCCATGGATTATTTCTAGTTACTCTAATCATGTAGCATGCTAGATGTTAATATATTTTACCTACATATATTATAGAAATATAGTAATGTGTTGAAATATGTACTTGAAATGTTTTCTGTCTTATCTTCTCATTGATTCTCATCAGAAGGAAAATATTTTCAGACCTTCTAATTACAATGTGTTCTGAGAGGGAATATAAAAGATACCTACTCTAACCATTTTGCCATCTGAGAAAAGTTCTCTATCCTACTGTTGCTCAAGGAGATTTATTGTAAACTAAATTTTCATCGTGTTCTTCAGTTTGTCGGTCTTTTCAAAAAGAAATCTTGCTAAAAGGAATATTTTTTTCCCTCTAGAAATGTGATTTCTTTGAAAAGAAGATCTGCAGTCCTCAAAGAATTCAACAATGAATTAATGACAATCTAGCACTTGAGATAGCTCATAGCTGAAATATTGCAATGACTGAATTAACCATTTCTTCTTCAAGATTTTTAAGCTGTAGCCCAAGATGATGCTGAATTTTATCCAAGAATTATTAAGTTATGAATATAATTCAGCAAATAGGAGACGACCATTTTTTATGATTTTTTTTTTATAAATGGGGGCCTATTAAGCTGTAGCATAACTCTACTGCCATACAAAATGATAATAGGTGTTAGATGAAATGACATTTTAAACCTTGATAAATATATACTTACTTTGTGATCATGTTTATGTTGTTGATGTAAAGCTTCTTTTCAAAATAGGATGGCTGGGCGTAGTGGCTCACGCCTGTAATCCTAGCACTCTGGGAGGCTGAGGCGGGTGGATCGCTCGAGGTCAGGAGTTTGAAACCAGCCTGAGCGAGACCCCGTCTCTACCAAAAATAGAAAGAAATTAATTAACCAACTAAAAATATATACACAAAAAATTAGCCGGGCATGGTGGGCATGCCTGTAGTCCCAGCTACTCAGGAGGCTCAGGCAGGAGGATTGCTTGAACCCAGGAGTGTGAGGTTGCTGTGAGCTAGGCTGACGCCACGGCACTCACTCTAGCCGGGGCAACAAAGTGCGACTCTGTTTCAAAACAAACAAACAAACAAACAAACAAAAACAAAACAAAATAGGTTAAAATGCTAAGTATAGCAAGGAGACATTCATAAGGGCGTTAAGACGTGATTGCAGTTTTGAAACACTAAGTTAGAAAAAAACTCAACCTAATGTAATAGAGCACACATTTGGCCCCCGTTGCTTACCTTTCCCTGTATATACATCCTTTCTATGTGATTTTGAAAATTTTTCCAACTAAAGGGGTCATACATTTTTCTCTGACCCTTGACATCATTTTGGTCATGTGACTTCTTTGGCCAATAGTAAGAGAAAAATGACAGTGTGCTGGTGCTTAATCTAGGGCTCAAGAGGCCTTGAGTGTTTTCCACTTGTTTTTTTTTTTTCTTTTTTTGCACCTTTGCCATCAACTTGAGAAGAACATGTATCAGCTAGCTTGACGATCTAAAGAGATTGAGAGACACATGGAAAAGAGCTGCTTCAGCATAGCCCATCTTAGATCATCTAACCCCAGGCAAGTTACAAATGCATGAGAAATAATAAATAATAATAATAAATGTATTTTAACACACCGGATTTGGAAGCAGTTTGCTAGGTAGCAATGACATAGCTAATCACTTAGTAAAGAATAAGAGGCAAACAGTGTGTTTCTACTAACCATTCTGGTAAATCCCTAATAATAGCCCAAATAGTTTGACGTCTACTACTCCAGTTCACCTTCCCAATAATGCCATGAAGGCAGCAGATCCAGCAGCACAGCCATTCTACAGATGAGGAAAATGAGGTTCTGCAAAATTGATTGCATTTTATTTGGTCACTCTCATGACTAGATTATAGAAAAACATTTTTTTTTAGTTATAAATTAGAATTCTACTTCAGTCCATTATCACTAAGGATGTATAACTAGGAAGTAAATATTTAAATTTGATTGTTTTTTAAAAAAGAAACTTGAGTTATTGACAGAAATTCCATATAGAGAGAAGAGAGATGAGTCAGTCTTGGTTTGAAGGCTAGCTGAAAATATTTAGTCCTTCCACTAGTTATAGTTATATTAGTATAACCATTTATGTTCTTAACATTTAAAAGAAATCCGTGTAATAATACACAATGCAGCAGATAAAAGATAATCTGTACAAATATGAAATTATTTCCAAGACACCAAGTAAAATTTTAAAAAGTTTAGGATGTGTATATATTGATAACATTTATGTGAAAATTATTAAATATTTTGTGGATTTATTTTTATATACATGAATATAATACACGAATGAAAATATAAATAAAAGTGGCTACAAATTTTCATAAATTGATTGAGGGTAGTTACCTGACAATGAAAAGAGAGGTGCCTACTATTTCTGGGTAATGGGAGAAGTGGACTGGAAACATACAAACAAATTAAAATTTTTATAAAGAGAATGTATTTACTTTTTGCTTGTGCAATAAAATATTAATGAAAAATGAAATGTTATTTGGAGAAACAATGAATTATCTGAAGTCATAAGAATGTCTTTATTTGGATCCTTGGATCCAAACTAGTGCCACTCGCCAAAATAACAAACAGAAAAGTTGACAAGTTTTCTGTATTAATGGTTATTAAGAATAATAAAATGCTCCATTATATAGACAAACACACCCTTTGCTTCCTCAGACATAATAGCTCAGGGATGTGTTTATTGTTCTCTGTGATTTGAATGTTCCAATGCTCTCACACACAGTGACTTTAACACTAGAGAAAATAAGAAATATTAATAGCACATTTTTAAAAAGTAGCATAATGATTCTTTGTACATCACCTGTGCCTAGTATTAAAGAAAGCCTGGAGTCTTGAAAGAATTCAACAATAAATTAGTGATGATCTAGCATGTGCGATAGCTCATAGCTTATAGCTCACTCTTAATTCACAAGCATGGGCATACACAACTGGAATAAGTTAGAGGCATCATCCCCTTTACATCCCATTGCTGATTCAAGGATAGGAGCAGAAAAAGAAGAACTGGAGAGATTTCATGAAATCGCTAGAATATCTCAAGCAGCTTGAAAAGAGCTGCTAAAACGTTTTCTCCTCCTGTTCTCTTCTTGTGAGCCCTTTCTTTTTGCCTGACTCTCCATGTTCACTGTACTTGTCCCTCAATGTATTTAATTGAGTAGTGAAGGTGACATTGACAGTACGAAAGCTAATCCTTGACATCAGAGAATGAAGAAACATGGACACGTGAAGCCAGTGAGTTGGGAAGATGGTTCAGCGGAGACTATTTTTCTCCTTTTCTTCGTTGGTAATTCATAATAACTTATTCCTGTTATTCTCCACTTTTTTAATTTCATGAACAGGATATCTTTCTTCCATTGCCTTAGATATTTTTCCCCCATAAATTCCAAGATCTTTTCTAATATCTTTATTTTCATTGTAACCTTGCCTAAAATTTTCTCACAAAAGAGCATATTTTACACTCATTCTGTGAAGCTATTATCCCCATTTGACAGCTGCAGATGTCCATAAAAGATTTGCCCATGGCCACAGAACAGACTTACACTGTGACATGCTAAGGCACATTCTTCCCTCAACAGCCAAAATGATTTTTTAAAGATATATGTCAGATTATATGAGCTTTCTATTAATACTTAAAATCCTCCAATAGCTTTCAGCATACTTGACATAAAATCCAGAAATTTACCATCCATTTCAATCTTATCTGCAAACACTCCTCATTGTTCATTATACTCTAGCTACTATGTCTTCTTTCAATTGATCAAAAATGCAAAGTCATGCCAGAAACAGTGGCTCACACACCTGCAATCCTAGCAGGAGGATTGGTTGAGCTCAGAAGTTCGAGACCAGCCTGAGCAAGAGTGAGACCCTGGCTCTACCAAAAATAGAAAAAATTAGCTGGGCATGGTGGCACACACCTGTAGTCTCAGCTACTTGGGAGGCTGAGGCAAGGGGATCACTTAAGCCCAGGAGTTTGAAGTTGCTGTGAGCTAGGATGATACCACTGCATTCCAACCAGGGCAACAGAGCGAGACTCTATCTCAAAAAAAAAAAAAAAAAAGTCCATTCCCACTTCAAAGCCTTCACTTTTGCCTTTTCTCTGCATGAAATGCTCTCCTCAGATATACATAGAACTGATTCTTCTCATCATTTGGGTCTCAGACCAAAACCTTTCAGGGTTTCTACTAGATCATCACATTCAATATTACCAGACTTACTAGGTGGATCAAGAGTATTGTTCCATATTGGCAATCAGAATGTGGGTTTCCCAAGAAAGGGGGAAAATTCTAAGCCATGGAAACAATCTAAGTCCACTGCAATGGTTAATCATAAAATTCATCTCAAATTGGGCAAGTTCCGAACTGGGTGTCAAAATAAATAGTGCACATGTAATAGAGTACAGGAAGGATAGGACATGCACAAAATACATAGTTAAGATTAGAGAAGCCTTGTTTTAATAAAGGAAGTTGTAAGAAGTGAGAATAGACAGGTTGAGAGATAGAAGGTAATTGAAGGCTTAAGACAAGATAATTTGATTTGTTAAATAACCAGGTTTTTGAGTACAGTGTATCACTTAACACTTTTGTGAAGAGATTTAGTGAAAACCATTCTTGAAGAAAATTTTGTCTGCAATCGTAGAATGATATAATAGTTATACTAATTACAGAAAATATATAACATAAATAGTAAATATAAACTGTACTTATCAAAGCAATGAACCTACAGCTCAGTAAATTTAATTTGGCTATTCTAAAATGCAATATGCTGTGCCTGAGTCCTTTGGTGAGCATATTTAATATCAATAAGGGAGTTTTCAAATAAAAAATTTCTACTTCAGTATATTTCCTTAAAATTAATGTATCTTTATGGAGTATCTTGGGAAGTTAGTTTAAATTTTAATGAAGACTTTGCT